TTCCAAAGAATGAGAGAAATATTCTGACCTGATGGCAGCTTCAGATCAACATTAGAAAAAGAGTTGATACAAAGAGTCCTGAGGAGATAAATCAATATCCTGCCGATACTTTGGTGGTCGTTCTTCCATTTGTTGGTCCGACTTCCCGTCTGGATCAAAGAGAGGATTGTTCTGTTGCTTATTTCAGGATTCATGTGACACAAAAAACCAAGACATTAAAACAACAAATGAAATCCTCACTTCTTTTTTTATCTGCAAGAACAACTGAGATCTTCAGGGAGCGGTTTACCCGCCACATCGCAGCGCAATTCACTTAAACCAAATTTTATGTGGTCACGGCGAGCCGCTCCGAGTAAAAATCAATATAAGTGTTAAATATGGGCACAAACTGGCACACACACACACACACACACACACACACACACACACACACACACAGGGGCGATGTGTGCGATGAGGAGTGTTGTTTTCCTCTGAAAGGACAGAAGCCTCCAGAGGATTCAGCGCTGTGATTCCCGCCTCGGGCAGACGCAGCGATTTGTTGTTTTTAGTCTCTGTTTTGTCTTGTTCGTTGAATCTGTCGACCCCTGCAGCCCCCCAGAGTCCACTCCTCCTCTCTGATATCAGAGGATGTCAGAAACATGAAGTGACAACCAAACCTGTTAGTCAATTTTTGTGAAGTTACACCGCCTCTAGGGGGTGAAATAAAATCAGTCTTTGAAGCGCCGTGAGCCTCGATAAAAGCAGTTTCATTGCCGAGTCTCAGGTTGAATCCAGAACTAAGCACAGCGGCGGTGCTCCGACTCGCTCCACAGCCTTTTTACATAAATACAAGATGACGTTTCTGCACCGGCGGGCAGGAAGGCGTTTCAGCACCCGGGTAAAAAGTGAAACAGCATAATTTGATATTAAATGTGAGTGGAGCTGGTTCTGCAGCTCGGAGTGGGTAAACAGAGCTGTCAGGAGGTAATTTACAGGAAACAGAAGGGAACACAAAGAGAGGAATAAAAAGAGAGCAAACGAGTTCATCGTGGACTGTAACAGCTGAGGTCAGAGCAGAGAGTGTAGCACTCTGCATGGACACAGTGAGAGGGACGAAGCATGTGTTTACGGACAGACGTATCGACTTTACTTCCTGAATATTTCCACAAAGTTTGACTCTTTAGTCTCAGATATCTCAGCCGAAAACATGATCCTCCTGACTCCCTTTATGTGACGTTTTGCAGGGTCAGAGCTGTGTGGTCAGGTTAGCAATCATAAATAAAGTGACATCAGTCATCTCTACCAGGTGGGAGAGGGATGGAGCTGATCCCATTTGTTATTGGGCAAGAGCTTGTGGGTTACACCCTGGACTGGTCGCCAGTCAATCACAGGACAGACAATCTCTCACATTCTTAATCAACGTAACGCAGCAGATTGTACACTCCACTCATGCATCGGAAATACAACAACGTTTAGAGATTTTTTAGGGTTCTCCAGATCTCAAACTTTGACTTTTGTGTTGGAGTCAGATTCGACCAGGAGGATCTATACTTTGACTGAAATAAGAAAGCTCTGTTCTTTGTCCAGCACTTACTGTAAAATGATTGGTTCGTGTTTTGGCTCCGCCTGACTCATGAATGGTAAATGTTGATGAGATCGAAAAACAAAGAAGCTTAAAAAAAAGCTTAAAGCTTCTGAAATCACTGAAAGACAAGAGGGCGACCGAGGACAGAGTTCAAGTGTTTGACCGTCTCTGATCATTTCATCGTCTCTCCCTGCAGCCTGTGTGTGTGTGTGTGTGTGTGTGTGTGTGTGTGTGTGTGTGTGTGTGTGTGTGTGTGTGTGTGTGTGTGTGTGTGTGTGTGTGTGTGTGTGTGTGTGTGTGTGTGTGTGTGTGTGTGTGTGTGGTCGCAGTGACCCAGAGAAGCTGATATATAAACACAGATACTGTTTGAACACTGCTGAGTCTCCTGAAGAAGACTCTTTATCTGCACTCTCATCTTCCCCTCCCGTCCCTCTGAGCTGAGCATGCTGGGAAAGGTTCCTTAGTATCTGTCTTTAGCCTCGAAAACATCTTCTCTCTTTACAAATCAGACAAAAGAGGTGATGAAAAAAACAATGCAGAAGTAGCTGACGAAGCAACAGAGTCCTCTACACAACGCTGTAATGAGAATATCTGTCTTTATATCAATGCTACGTGTAGTTGAACAGAATCTCAATCTGAACTAAAGAGTGGAGAAGAACATACTGGAGAACAGGAAACATAATGCAGCAGGTTCATTAGAGCACGGAGATCATAGAGGTTGCGTGCAGACAGTCTAATAAACAGGGAATAAACGTCACCACCCCCACCCACTCGCTCCAGGTGAATTCTCCTGATTATATCCTGCTGCGTTCTCACTCTGACTTCCTGCAGAATAAATACAAGGAGGCTGGAGGAGAAACTCCGGATAAAGTCTGATAGAAACATTCGGCTGTTTGTGTTCACACATGCAGCTCGTTGTGCAAATATCAGGAGATTTCTGCAAGTGTGAAAGCACATATGTCACATCTTTTCTGACAGCTGAAATCACCGTAAATCACAAAGTAAAGTAATTCATTCTGTAAATCACAGACTATGAAGTGACCAAAAGAAGGTGTGTCCAGTTAATCAACTAATTAAACTCTGTTAACTATTATCTGTTAACAAAGACGTTAACTTCCATATCAGTTAGTCTAACTCCTTTAACTGAAGGTCAAATGAACAGTATTATAAAATCATGTTCCTGAGGAGTTTCTCTGTGAAGGATCGCAGCCCGACATGAACCATCTGGCTCTATTTGTATTTTTCTATACTGTAGAAGCACAAAACACATCCCGAACAGACCCTGCAGTAGAGCTTCTGCTTGTTACTGAGACTGAGCAGCACATTCACTTTGATTTTTAGACGTGTTGGGCGGCATGTTTGCTCTGCAGCAGAACAGCTCAGCGTCCACTGACACGGGGAAATAAGAGACGGATGAGTTACACAGAAACAAGTCCGTCTGGTCTGAAGGCCTGAAGTTTTAGACAAAGATATAGACTACTTGATCGTAAAATTTGTGTTCCTGGGCGATCATATTTTTAGTCTTCAAACAGGCGAGGAGGAGAAAAAATGATCTGTTTTCTCTTTTCAACCATCGGGTCCTCCCCTAAAGTTTGTAGATGGAGAAAACAGAAACCATCAACAGGTTGTTGTTCTTTTTTGCTTAAAGAAGCGATTTGTTCCTGTTGACGACTAGTGTTTAAAATGGGTACTGCAGACCAAACTCAAAACATTGAAAAGAGCTGTGTCCCCTGCCCCCTCCTCTCTAGTCGATACTCACGCAGGTTGCCATGTGGTGGACACTGAAGCTTCAGTATTTAGCCAGCTCTGCATCGGTCTGTAAACCTTTCTGTGTTCTAACCTCTCTCCATTTTTCAAAAGCATCTCCAATATTGATCCTAGTTTGAGCACGTTTCTGCTCGTGGAGCTTATTAGAAACATGCAGAGGCTTTTTAGGTCGGGTACAATCACTTCTATCAGTTCTCTTGCCTGCTTCCATCGCTGCAACACCTGTTGGTTTCATATAACTGGTGATAACTGGTCTCATATCTGGCAAACCGAGGGGCATCCAAAACGGCCGTCAAACCAACAGGTGTTGCAGCAGACACTGAACACATTCCTCTATTCTCAACCTTTACCTTCCTGTCTCCCTCCAGCGGCCATTTTGGATGACCAGTCAACGTGCGGTCGTGGTGAGCGTCTGGCGCTGGCCTTGGCGAGGGAGAACATCAACAGTCTGATGGAGGGCCCCTCAGAGGCGAGGGTGGAGGTGGACGTCTACGAGCTGTCAAAGGACTCCCAGTATGACACTACAGAAACCAGTGAGTAACTATCAGCTCCTTTACTCCTCGTCTTCATCGTGAAGTCACATGATTTCACTCTGACATTTTGTACTGTGAATGTTCAGTGTGAGGAAGCAGAGCGGTAAAACATCCACCTTCATTAACCAGGCGGGTCGACGGTGAAGCAGGTGCACATGTTTCCTCCACGCTCTGTGAACCTGCACTTTAAAAACCACACACAGTTAGACTAAAGGCTGAGATGGGCTTTAAAACACCTGGAGACACCGTGATCCATGTTAACACTGTTAATACTTTCAGTCTTCTCTCAAAGGCAGGGGCGATTCGAGAGTCTGTCGGGGGGCCGGGGCAAAAATTCAATGGGGGGCCCCTCCGACCAGCGTTCATCCCAAAAACGGCCGCCAGTGTCCCAACGCTTACTCCTCCTCCTCTTTCTTTTTTCACTCCCACACAGATAATTCCTCTTCATTTCCTTTCGGTAATTTTTATTGACAAACTTCGGTTTTCACAGCATGTGATGCTTTGCAGTGCATGGAGAGGGAGTGCAGTCATATGGGGCCCCATTAGGGAGGTTTCCTACAGTCATTGCAATTTGCTGTGGTTCAAAGTTTGTCAGCCCTCAGGGGGCTCCTTATGGCATGGGGCCCCCAAAGATGCACATGTAATGGTACGATGTTGGATGGTTTCTTTAAACAAAAGATAGACAGGTTTTGGTGTAATACCCCGGACGTCGTTTCCTGCCGCTCTGAACGAGACTTTATGAGAACTTGGCGAGACTTGGCCAGGTGTGTTTCAGTGGATCGTGAAGAACGGCCCTTTTACATGGCTTCCTGTTGATTCCTGTTTTTTTTTATTGAAGGATTTTTAAAATTTAAAACAGAAACAGGCAATAGGAAAAAAAACTCTGAACATAAATTATTCAGAAGCTATATGTTCCCAAGCCTGTCTGCAAGTTCCCACCCCCCCACTCATGTTCCCAGTTTTGTCCATACATATATCCACACAAACCTATACACAAATACATACACATCAATCAATAATAATTGATTTCCTGCATCCATGTTGTCCTAAATATGTTCATGTTGTCAAAAATAAAATATGGACTGACAAGCCCCTTATTGGTGCCATAGATAACATAGGACCACATGCAAAATATTCACAAATATTTAAAAGGGTTGGTCTGGTGTAAACCTCCTTGTGACATAATATGTTGTCAATGTCCCACATTTTAAAGAGCAATTGTTTTGCCTGTATACATTTTTAGTTAGACAATACAGTATTTTATAAATTCCTGCCTGTTTATATATGTCTCTAAATACATACATATACACATATATATACCCACACCCACACATACATGCATACACATACTCAAAGTGCACATATATATATTCATACATTATTATTATTATTCCCCTTTTCTTTTTTCTTTCCATTCATGACTCAAGAACAGTTGTCCAATCGCAGATCAGAGTCAGTAATGAGTCATATCATAAAAGAGAGAGAAGGGCCCCAGATTATGTCTTATTTGCACACAGCATCTATGTTGCTGTATATGACTCTTTCCAGTTTCGCTATTTTTCCAAGTGCATTATACCAGTCTAGGGTGGTGGGAGCTGAAGCGTCTTTCCATCTACAGTATATTAGCTTTTTAGCGACTGCAAAAGTTGTAGTCAGCCACTTGCTGTTAGTTTGAGATTCGAGTCTGATCCACCCAAAAGTTCTTAATTTTTATACAATCCCAGACCATGTGCAGGTAGGTCCCTGTCTCAGAAGAACATTTCCAGCAGGTAGCCAGGTATCCATTTTAAACCTTTTTTTTTACCTTCTAGTCATTTGGATCCAGAATATAAAGAAAAACCAAAGAAAAGTCGGAGGTTAAGAGGTCAGAATTATCATTGAATATGTTGGAAGAAAAAAGCAGCTCTTTGTGAATCTACCTCAGGCTGACTTTCAGGGCTTTTGTGGCCAAACTAATCGATCGTGTGACGACTCCTGTCTCCCTGATGACTTCCTGTTTGAACATGACGGAAGCAGACGTACAGTCAAGAGGAGAGCAGGTGAATCAGGGAGACTTGTTGCATATTCATAGGGTGTAGCGTCGCCGTGGGGCGAGGTCATCGTGACCGGAGAGCTCTCAGCGTTCTGCCAGGCAGCTCGGAGAGAAACTTCCTGACGGAGAGGCAGTTCATGTTTTCTGTCAGAGCTCTACATTGTGTACACACACACACAAACACGCGCGCACACACACCACACACACACGCGCACACACACCACACACACACACACACACGCACGCACGCACGCACACACGCGCACGCACGCACGCACGCACACACACTATGGCGCGCGGAATGGCTCATCACATGCACGCGGCACATACGCACGTATGTGTGATTATTTCCTATAAGTTCCACGCGTACACACGCATGTGTGTGTGTGTAAGTATTACACGCAGCCTGACTTACTGACGCACGCACGCATGCTTTTTTATTCGAGAGAGAGACTTTAGATGTGTGTTCGCTGTTTTACAATATAAATTGTTTTTTAACGCCCATTAATAAGCGAACGGTTAACTGATGTGAAAAAGTAGATGTTCACTGTCTATCTGTGTTGCCTGTAGAAAAAGTTTCCCCGGATCGTATTTTCCGTGAAAGATCCAGGAAGTGACATTTTATGCACGTTCTCAACGTCCTACTCACTCCGCTCCGCTTACAGAGATCAACAGTATAAACTCATCACACACTCCCGGTCTTCACCTCCACAGCCAGGGGCCGCCTTCCACACACTTCTATCCGCTCTAGGAGCTCTCAAAGGTGGACAAACTCATCACACACTCCTGCTCTCAGCCAGTGCCTGCTGAGACTGAATACAGACACACAGACTCCTTCACAGACTTTCACATGTGTGTGACCACTTACCTCCTCTGTAAACATTATGCCGGTAAATATCCAGTGTTTCACGGCTGATGATGATGCTTGTTTGTGTACGTACGAGCACGTATGACGAGCACGCGAGGGAGAGCGAGCAACAGGTTACTGGTGCAGTTCGCCTAACGGCCATGCGGTATCACTACAAACGCAATATTTTTGAAAGTTACATACAGCCCCTTTAAGGTTCATCACAGATTAAACCTGCTCACATGAATATGTTGTCACAAACACACAGTCATCATCAGGTATTTCACTGTCAGGCATCAAATGTTTCCAAACCAACAGACTTGAATTTATCCGTCAGTGTTGATCACTGCAGTCTGATCAGCTCCGTGTGGAGTTCAACTTCTTCAGCTAAGTAAACTCAGTTAAACCACTTTTGATATGAGTCTGGCAGTCCCTTCTTCTACTGTACCGTTGTAACCTTCTCTGTCTCTGACTTTTTATGCGCCATGAATCTGTGCTATCTCCGTGGGTAAAGAAGCACTTTAGCGCTGCTCCGCGGTAATCCCCAAAACAGACAGCTGCTGCTTCGGCTGAGATTTTAATAATTTATTACTGGGTAAATAAAATGTGTGTAAACGTCTCTCTTTAAGGCTCTCATCGTATATGTCTTGAGACTCAGCGGATAAAACTTAAGCACGCACACACACACACGCACATACACACACACACACACACACACACACACACACACACACACACACACACACACACACATAGAACCATAGAGGATGTTAGCACACACGTACGAGTACAAACATGGTGCATATTTCAATACTTCTGTTCTTCTGGTTAAAGTTTGTTCTCATATTTTGATATCAGGTTTGATTCTAAAATGTTCTGAACGTCACGTAATGATATCTAAACGCTTGAGAGGAGGATCTCTTTGTGCCCTTTTTTTCCTTTCATGAAACCAAAAAGCTCAAATTTCATCGTTTGATAAACAAGAAAAACTCCTGATTACTCTGTGAAGCTTTTTAAATCGAGACGAGACGAGTACAGTTCAGAGCTGGATCAAGTCAGTACGCTCCACTGATTCTGTACGTCGTCTTATGTATTTTATTGTCTCTTTTAAAGTGGCTGTGCTGGTTTATTTACTAAATATCAAATGTGAATGAAACAGAGTGAGTATAAACAGCACATGTTTGTAAATGTATCGAAGACATCCATCTTTAAATCAGGTATAAAGTGCAATCATACTTAAATGTGAAAGCGCAAAAAAAAGGGGTTTAAAGAGCCGATTACTTTTAGCAGGAGGGAATCAGTGGTAAAGCAGTGGTTCTGGACTGGTGGGTCGGGACCCAAAAGTGGGTCGCAGAGCCATTTTCAGTGTGTCGCAAATGCTGTCAAAAAGTCCATGAAGTGCTTTTTCAAACAAGTTTGTTTCATTCAGTTTCTTTGTTCTATCACGCTTCTTAACGTCTGAGGTCCAAACTGCACAATTTGTCTTTAAATAAATTTGATTGATTGAAAATTATCAAAAAAATTGGGTCGCGATTTTTTCATGAGGGAGTAGTTGGTGGGTCCAGAGGCTCGACCAGTTGAGAACCACTGATCCAGTGTTGCCAACTCCTCAGTAAGGAAAGTAACTATTGGCTGTCCTAAAAGTCGCTAGAAGTCTCTAAATGACGTCTTCACCTAATTTGTATAAACGGCCATTTGCCAAATGTGAACTGCAATTTTTTTTTTCTAATTTCATGACTTTAATGCTTAGACCCACTTTACATTCATCAATTGTGTCCTGTATTGTTAAATGTTAGAATATCAAATTTAATCAAAAGACTGTGCGAGTCCCCCATTCCCCCAATGTTTATCTTTATCTCTTTATCTTTGTCAAATGCAGTGTTTTATTTTTGTGTGAAACTGAAGAAACATTTACATGTAGCTCTGTAAGCCAGGGCGGGAACAGCAGCAGCTTCGTTGCAGTCTGGACGCAGAGTGGTGTGGGTCTCCTCTCTGCTCTCTGACTGCAGCTGGGTCTGCAGCGCGAGCCTAGACCGACAGCCTGTGAGCGCTTTTGAAAGGGGGGGGGGGCTCACGGCAGCACCCACTGCTCGTTGAGGACAGTAACTGCAGAGCAATACGTGCTTAGACGTCAGTTTCTTAAACCAAAAAAGTCTCTGATAACACCAGAAAAAGTCGCTAGATTTGTCGCTAGTAGCTGTTGACAAAAAAAGTCTCCAACAGGATTTGGAAAGTTGCCAAGTTGGCAACACTGCACTGATCTAAAGAGTTGTCTTCAGGCACTCCATATGGTGAGTGGCGGGGTTACACCCTGGACTGGTCACCAGCCAATCACAGGACTGACATATAGAGAGAGAGACAACCAGCCACACTCACATTCACACCTACAGACAATTTAGAGTCACCAGTTAACCTAACGAGCATGTCTTTGGACTGTGGGAGGAAGCTGGAGTACCTGGAGAGAACCCACACATTCATGGGGAGAACATGCAAACTCCACACAAAGAGGCTCCTGCCAGATGGGGATTCAAACCAGGAACCTCCTCGCTGTGAGGTGACAGCGCTAACCACTGCACCATCTAGCTGCCCCTTTTTGGAAGTTTTCATCACATCTTTTTTGAGGACATTTTTGTCTGAAACTTTCAAGATGTTTGTCAGTAATTGTTGTAAATGTTAAGGGATCCCTCTCCACATGAAAATTTAAATTGCTCTGGAGCTGCTGGATGAAGAAACAATACGCTCTTGTTCAAAATGTCTGCTTCAAATGTCCTGTTAGTATTTTATTTGAGACAAACCTTTGTTTTCTCCCTCAGTGTGTCAGATACTTCCAAAGGGCGTGGTCTCTGTGATTGGCCCCGCCTCCAGTCCCGCCTCCGGTTCCACCATCAGTCACATCTGTGGGGAGAAAGAGGTGAGTCCGGTCTGGCTCTGAAACATGACACCTCACTGTGTAGCGTCTGTAATGCAGCTGTAACTTCTCAAACACTGACAGATTCATGAGGCAGCCATTTTCCTGTGACATCACGCTCACTCCGGTGACCTCACATGTCATGTCATAATTTTAATCGTGTTTCCAGGTCATAGGTCATTTAAACATCTGACATGTAATTGTCATTTCACCATTTTCGCGTAGTTGAGAAACTCCTGAAACAATGATACTGAAATAGAGAGAGATGCAGGAAGTGCAGCTTTTGGTGCATCCATGTTTTCTCATGTCTCATCCCATCTCATCGGTTTCTGCCTCGTTACTCTGCAGCGGCGCTGGAACTAAAGCTGCACATTTAAAGGTTTAACTCGTGATTAACCATTTACCCGCCTGAATAAATCTACACAAGTCCATCTCCGTCTCCCTCTAATCCTTTAAATGTCACATCGTCTCCCTCTGCCCGCACGGCGCTCTCTTTACTTGATTCTCTACCTGGATTTAAAATAAGCTCTGCAGATCTGAAGTGAGGCCCGGATGAGCTGATCATAGTTTACTGTTTGAAACCTGTGCATGTGTGCAGCAGGTGAGCGGACAAGCGGACCTTCACACGGGACATTTGGCCTCTGACCTGCTTCTTCATTCCTCACTGATGTGATTAATCTTTCAGTTTGTCATTAACATTTCAGCGTGAGTGGAGCCTCTGTCCGTCACAGAGGATCTTTGCTCTGTGGAGATTAAAGAGAAACTTGTGTCTTTGAAATTAAAACCGTCACTCTCGTAAACCTAGAGGTTTTTTGATTGAGACCAATACAATTTTTCTTCTGCCCAGCTGTTCATCTTTTTGGCTCCATAAAAATAAACTCTGAAACTAAGTTCCGGCAGTAAAAGAGGTGATGTCCAGGTGTCAGCTGTGATCAGCTCTGGAACAATCTTTAAACTTCTGATGGTCAAAGATGTTTCTTTAAAAGACAAGATTTAAAACCAGGTTTTAACTTCTTCTACACTCTGAGTGTTGTGTTGCTTTGGCTTTACTTGTTCGCTATTTCTAAACATGCTGATATTTCTGTTCATGGTTGACTTTACGACCCAGTGAGCACTAGCCAGGATTTGAACGTTGATATTTGGTTGACAGCAGGGTTAAATCAAGTCTTAATATCCAAGACTGCTAGATTACAATCACAACATTCAGACGCTGTGTCTACAGACGGCGCCTACGACCACCTTTTCAAAGCTCTTCTCACCCAGCGCTCTTTGTTGCTAGGTTACGAAAGTTATCTTCTGTTACCCTCTGACTGTAGGTGTGTGTTAGATAGCGGCGCGATTGAGTTAACTAGATGTACAATGCAGTCAAAGATCGTGGACGCATTGCGGTGGCGAGTATTGTTTTGAATAACAGTATAAAAAGTTTTCGTGTGTAACTGACACACTGACTGTTCAAGAAAAAACACAACATGTTATGTTGAATTGGAAAATTTATGTGGAAAATCGTTGGTTTGGTGGCCATCTTTTCAACATAACTGTCTTTGTGGAGTAGCATTTCTCCTCCTTTCTTCTTCTGTCGTTTTTATTCAGCTTTCTTTTTCCTTCCTGTTTGTTGTTTTCTTTCACTGTCCTGTGTTTGATATTCCAGAAATTCACACTTTCCTTTGAGTGTCGACCATCAAAATGCCGCCAAAGGAAGCCTAAAATGTCATCTTTATTTCCTGCTACCTCCCATCCTAATATCTCTTCTTCCGTCTCACTCTCTCCCTCAGATTCCTCACGTGAAGATCGGTCCCGAGGAGACGCCGAAGCTGCCGTACCTCCGCTTCGCCTCGGTGACTCTGTACCCGAGTAACGAGGACCTGAGCCTGGCAATCGGCTCCATCCTGCGCTCCTTCGGCTACCCGACGGCCAGCCTCGTCTGTGCCAAAGCAGAGTGTTAGTCCGCCTGTTCTAGTTTTGCCGTCTGTCCTCTGCTTCCTTCCTCCTCTCGTCTTTCGTCTCCTTTCCTCTCTGTCCTCTGCTTCCTTCCTCCTCCTGTCTTTCCTCTCCTTTCCCCTCCGTCCTCTGTGTCCTTCCTCCTCTCGTCTTTCCTCTCCTTTCCTCTCTCTCCTCTGCTTCATTCCTACTCTTGCCTTTTTCTCCTCCACTTCTCCTTCATCGATCTCTCTCCTGTTTTTCCGCCCGACTGGTCCCCGCCCCGGCTCACAGTTTAAACACCGCTCCTCTCTGCCTCTCGGCCTTTAGCCGTATCCTCGTCCTGTTAACGGGGCTGTTTAACAGGCCTGTTCTCTTGTTGTGCACGCTGCTGTCGGACAGTGAAACCCGGCGGCGCCGTGATAAACGTTTTATGGCGGCGATTAGACGAGACACGCCCGTTGTTTCTGTCAGGGTCGAAGGAGACGGAGGCCGAGCGGCGCTGAGTGATAAAAGTGAGGTGAAGCAGGAGAAGAGGACATATTTAAAAAGTTACTGAGGAAATATCTTTATTTAGAGACTTTGTCTTTCATTTTAAAGTATTTAGATAATAAATATGTAGTCTGATTTCTAGTGGATACATTCAGCGGTTCTGAATGAAAGAGGACATTTGTTTCAAAGACACAAAAGGACAATAACAGCAGATCTTATTTGGAGTGGTAAAAACCTGCTCCACAGGTCCGGGGCAGCTTCAATTGGCTCCCGTTTTCCAGCCTTGTTTTGGGCACTAGGAGCTGCTGGTTGGTGGATCTTAGTGATCATTAATTATTAGTTTTTCAGAGTCAGCAGGTCACATCTGTCACACTTTGGATTCAAACAGGAAACAACATGTGCAGAAACATGAACATGATGCAAACAGTAAACGCTGGTACACAACGGTTTCTTTACACGTTTGCTGAGTTTGAAATGTGATGCTGCAAATGTTTCTAAAAGTTTGAGTTCTAATCAGGATGACATCCTTACCGTTACAGCTCCACTAGTTCTGACGACGGATAGCATCTCAACTCTCAACAAAAGTAATTAGGGAATATAAATGTTATGTTTTGACATTTTCGTCGAGGAGATGAAGAGTGGAGAAAACGTATCCAGCTCTGTTTTCATCAATCAGCTCATTCATCAATAAATATTCTTAAAAAAGCCGAGAGGCAGGGGCGCTGCTTGTCAACAGGCAAGGTAGGCAACTGCTTGGGGCCCCAGACCAGTACAGGGGGCCCCACAGGGCTGACAAACGTTGGACCAAAGGAGCAACCCAAAATGTTCAAATTTTGCAATGACAGTAGAAAACCTCCCTAAGGGGGCTCCATGTCTGACAGCATTCAATCTTGTTGCCCTACTGATTGCCGGTGGGACAGCCCCTGGAATAACTTTTGCCTAGGGCCCCAACAGGACCTAGAATCGCCACGCCGAGATGTGCACCTTTACACATTTATTTTTGTCTCTTTTTTATCACTTTGTGTTTATTTCTCAGCCGCAG